AAGCCACCTGTGAGTTGACAGCATGCACTTTATAATGTACAAAACTGTTGTACAAACTTCTGAGTTGAACAGGATGCATTTTAGACAAGGAAACCACCTGTGGGCTAAAAATACTACTGTAGTAAGCCACCTGCGGGCTAAAAATACTCCTGAAATAAGCCACTTGTGGGCTAGAACTACTCCTGTAGTAAGCCATGACGGCGTCATTAGCCTGCGCAAATAAGTGCTAACCAGTCAGAACGCAGTTGTCGCATATACCATTAAAAGACATGCAAAAGCCTCTGTCATTCGTTCTCGTTATCGGACGACTGTAAGCTATAAATACAGCTATGAGCCTGAAGCTCAGTTTCGTACCCTTAAACAATGTGTTGAAACAACGCCCGGGAACAGTTGCTGGGACATGATAGTCCGGGATTCCCACCCAGTCTGTGATATGCTTTGACAAATGAGTGCCATCTGGGCATAGGCATGGCCAAAAAACCGCTCCCTTCCAAAGGGGGACAATCATAGCTCCCTTAGCTTTGCAGATGTAAAAATGTCTCCAGGCTCTGATGATCTGGCTTGGAGGTGATACAACCCAGTTGTTCTCTGAGCCCCAATTTTGCGCGAATGCGTCTACGTTCTCGCAACCAGGATTCCAAAACCTGGAATTAAATCTGGTACATTTGGTATTATACCAAGATGCAAATCGATCAATGGTGAACGGGCCCCACATGTTATTGAGCCACTTATATATAGGCATGCTTATGCCCCAGTCGTCCACGTCATTAAGCTTACTTACATAATCAGCCAATTGATTCTGTTGCCTTGGAACCCAAACTGGATTTACTGATATACTATTGACCGAACAAGCATCTGTGATTTGCTCAGCAACTGCCTGTAACTCTGGGTTCATGCTTCCCCTATGGATAAGGCTTACGACATTTTTATTGTCGGTGTACCATTGTATATTGTGCCCCTGTAACGTGTTTGCAAGGGACTGTATCATGTTGTCAATTGCTTTGGCTTCACGCCAAGTTGAGCTTTTGTTTCTCTCAGCTCCATCCCAAAGCCCGTGGCAAACTAATTTATTTCCTGCTGATATAGCGAACCCCCCATAACCAYGCCCAGAAGCGTCGGAATAAATCACGGAATCGAATTTCCGAGGTTCTTCAAASAATTCTGTACCATTAAGTTGGCTTACGTTATTGGTCCAAAAGGACAATTCCTCCAAAACGCGCGAAGTTAGGTGGACGACGGAATTCCAGGACCACCTGGT